AAATCAATACAAACAGAGTCTACTACATATGATTTAAAAAAAAAAAAAAACGACCTGTGGTGTAGCTCAGGGGTAGAGTGCATGCCTCCCATATATGTATGAGAGGCAGGTTCAAAATGTGGGTGGGGGCAGGGTGTGACTCAGTCAGGAGTGAATTCCATATAACCATTAGCAATACTGAACCCTGCACTGTTTTCTAAGAAATACAGTAACACCTTACCTCAAACATTCTAGAAGATGTTCATATTTAACAGCCAGAAACATACTGGATCATTTCACTAGCAATAGGCACTTAAACTACCAACACGTGGGGTAGTCTACACGTGGTGAGCATCTTTGTAATAAAAAATCTTTGCCTATGACTATCGCATCACTATTTCGGCCCTTGGGCAGTCTTGATGACTGAGCCCAGAGCCTTTGCACCAGGCTATGTCCCCAGCCCCTTTCAGATGTTATTTTGAGACAGGGTCTTGCTAAGTTGCCCAGGCTTGGCTCTCAGTCCCTCAGAGTGCTGGGATTACAGGCATGAACAAAGGCAGCTCACTGCATTCTTAAAACTGCAAATAGTAAGTCATGTGTTAGAACCAATCACGCAACAAATAGTACAGATGTTGAACATGGTTTCAGACTCAGAAGGCAGCAGATTCCCTCATAATAGTATATACAGGACTTACAAGTGTGTCTTACAGGAAGAGCATGCTGGGCAGGCAAAAAGATCTTCTAGTCAGGGCAGGAGAAATGCTAATAATGGCGGGGGGTTGAAACCGGGCCTTTGCACTGAGGTAAGAATCAGCTTTTTTATTTGGAGACACTCTATGTCACTAAGCTGCCCAGAATGAGTTTGAACATACAATCCTCCTGCCTCAGCTTCCCAAATTATGGGATTACAAGTATGTGCCAATATATACAGCTAAGGACAAGATTTTTTTTTTCTCTCTAAAAAAGCCTCTTTGATAAAATAAAGACTATTAAAAAAAACAAAGGAGGGCCTGGAATTTAGCTCAGTGGTGCCATGCCTGCCTCCGAAGCACAAAGTCCTAAATTTGATCCTCTGCACCACAAAAGGGGGCCGGTAAAGAACGGGGGGAGAAAGAGGGAGAGAGGAGTGAGGCAGAGGAGGTAGAGGTAGAGGGAGGCAAGGTCCTGAGTTCAACCCCTGTTAAAAGAAAAGAAAAAAGAACAAAGCAGTGTTTTTTGTTTTGTTTTGTTTTGTTTTGAGACAGGGTCTCACTAGGTAGTTCAGGCTGGCCTTGAACTCCCAGGAAATCCTCCTGCCTCCCCTGCCTCCTGTGTGCTGAGATTACAGGTGTGTACTGACTTGCCCAGCAAAGCTGTAATTATTTCACTTGACCCTGTGACACCGGGGACACATGATGACACACACCCGTAATCCTAACACTTGGGAGGCTGAGGCAGGAAGACTGAGTTTGAGGCCAGCCTGGGCTACACATTGAGTTCAGGGCCAGCCTGAACTATATAGTGAGACCCTGTCTCAAAAAGTGAAAAATAAATCAATAAACAAAAGTATGACACAGTATCCTAGGGTATATCTGCAGACACAAATATGAAGAGTTACAGCATAGTTATTGCCATAGTGTTTCTGACCAAAAAAATGTCAATGTGAAATGGGGGCTGGGGGACAGCTTCACTGGGACACCATGTGCTTATCAGCACGGTCAAGAATGTGTAAGAGGCAGGACAGAACTATTTAAAGTAACAAGTACGGATCAAGGTATACTAAACATCTTGTTCTATTTTTATGAAGACACTGAAAAACTGCCTAATCTTTGCTACAGTTATTCTCAAAAAAACTGAAACATCTTGTTTCACCTTAAAAAAAAACAAAAACCCTTTGTTCCCAAACAGGGGTTAACAAACAGAAATAGCAATGAATTGCTAATTTTATATTCATCACCAGTAGATCACAAGTTAGTCTTGCACATTATAATTTGTTTTATAAAAATATTACCTTTATGTTCCACATAAGGTTCCATATCCAAAATTTCTGAGAAGCCTATGTAGGTATTCAGCTTTTTCTTATGTCCAGTTTGCCTAATTAAGAGGAAAGGGCATTATATTTCTATTTAAAACAACCAGAAAACAATGGTAAGCTCTCAGCTATATGGTTTTGCCTGGGGAGAGCTTGAGAGGGCCTCACTGCATAGTTTAGACTGGCCTTGAACTCACTGTGTAGCCCAGGTTGGCCTCGAGAGCTGGCAGTGATCCTCCTGCCTCAGCCTCCAGAGTGCTGGGATTTTAGTTTTTAATAAACCCAACAAGGGCCGGGGATTTAGCTCAGCTGTTTCGCGGCCTGCCTTGCAAGCGCAAGGACCCTGGTCCCCCCCCCCCAAAAAAAAAAAAAAAAAAAAAA